TCATGAGTCTGAAATCCGTGTCCCAGTCTGTTGTCAAGGGTACTACTCAACAACAGAGGATCCGACAGAGGACAGGACGGGGTGCCAATCCCAAACACACTTGGGGGCTGCTGTTCTGCCTAAGCTCTCCCCACATCTCAGGAGATGTGGACTCCAGCTTGCTCTACAAATGACCACCGAGCCCTGTGAAAGCACAGGTCCTGTGTCTGGGGATGTGCCCACCAGCCCCGCCTCCCTGACTCCCGCAGGATGCTGCGTATGAAAGGACAAAACCCTTTCCCGGTGTCTACCCTGAGCAAATCCACCGAATAAATTCTCAGATCACTCTCTTCCGCTCTTTTTTTCTTTCCTCTCCTTCTCTCCACTCCTCCATCTTTTCTCTTCTCCTTCCTTCTCTCCTGAGAGGGTAAGACAGCCCAGCGCGGGGTCCCCACTGGATCCGTGTCATAGTCTATCCGGGTCTGAGGGACCCTAGACTACCCTCCCTTTTGCCTCCCTCACCTGTGCCCAGAGCACTGAGACTCCGGGAGGCCACGCGACTTGCTCAAGGTCACAGGGAAGTTTGCAATAAAACAAATGGACTGAGAACCCGAGCCTCCTGACCCCCCAGTCCAGGGCTCTTTCTAATAAATTAGGCTTTTTGGCTTTCAAAACCTCCAGCTGGTAATGTCTGAAGAACCCAGTTTCCGGAACCAGAGAGATTTGGAGCCCAGGTGGAGAGAGTGGGGGCCCCTGACCTTCCTCGGAGGGTGGAGGCAGGGTTGGCTGAGGTCGTGGGAAGGGTAAGGGAAGAGAAAAATGGGTTAATGGTGGGGGGGCTAGGGAGGGGACAAGGGTAGCAAGTGAAAGGATTACCCCAGTCTGCTGACGAGTGCAAATTATATTTATATATGTGCTAAATACAGTCACTATATTGGAGTTTTTCACTAGGTCACAGCATACAGAATCAAAGGTTTGCATTTCGTATGGAATGTATCCAAAGAGGCCAGCACCACAGTAGGACAGCTTGCAATCACACACCCTGATAGTTTGGACGAAATAAAGTTCGCGGAATTTTATTTAAATTTTTTTTTCGTATTCATAGTTGTTTGTCATCGTACCAATGCATGCAAAGCATTCCACTCCCAGAAACAACGCCAAAATGAGGTAATAGGAGTAATAAAAAAAATTAGTATCCTTTCTAAATAAATAAATTATAATTAAAAATGCAAAACAACTATAAAAATAATTAAATAAGAACCCACGATATCTACAAGTTAGTCATAAATTATGATTGTTAAATATAAGGCATTTAAACTCACAAAACCCTGTAAACTAGCAACGTGCCATGTTTTTTGTTTTTTGTGTTTTTTTTTTTCATTTTTGTTTTTCTATCAGCTGAAATCGCTCTAGCATTTGCTCTACGCGCAGGAGATGAAACACGACAGGGGACCTGACAGACGTTGCTACAGCCCCACGCGGGGAGTGTTTGTCCCGCCGGCAGGCGGGAGGCTTGGGGGATTTCTTCAGGAAAAAAAAAAAAAAAGATCTGGTGCTTTTTCTTCACCATTGAAAAAACTGTGCTTGTTCATTAGGCGTCAAGAGTTGAGAATACTTGCAGGGAGGCTGGGACATTTGCAGAAGAGTAGCTTGAGTCCTGTCACGGTGGCTGGGCCAGGGCCGGGCATCCGGGCCAGTAGAGGAGCCCCACGCCCTGGCCCGCCCCCCTGCTCGCGCCAGCCGCCTGGCTGTGGCTGTGGCTGTGGCGGTGGCGGTGGTTTCGATGATTGGCATCCTCGGCACCCCGCTGCGGCCCGGGCTGCACTGCGGCTGGGAGCCCCAACGTGAATCCTGGGGTGGCTCTCGCCCCAGAAGGCACTCATGCGTCTCAGTCAAGAAAGGGTCTGAGTCCCTTGAGTTGAGCAATAGGAGTTCTACCGGGGTCTCCCCTCCCGGAGGAGGTGGGTACAAGATGCTGAGGCCTGAGCCTGCCTCGTCTCCATCTTCCCCAGCTCCCGGACAAGGGAGAGGGGCTTCCAGAGAGCAGAAGCACAGACCCCTCTCCTGTCTTCTCACCCAGAGAGCTGCCTGTCTAAGGAGCCTGGAGCTGGCAGGAGCCGGAGTCCGTGTCCCCTCCTGTGCCCACCTGCAAGGTACAAGGGCCCCAGAGAGACGGGGAGGGGAGGGGAGGCTTCAGGATCCACCCCCACAGTCAGCGGCTGACCTCTCCCCGCTGGGTGATCCCCACCCCAGTTAGTGCCTAATGTTGGCCTGGGGCACTCAGAGCGTGCCCAGAACAGGGAGGAGGAGGGGGCCGCATCCCACTCTCAGCCCCTGAGACAGATGTTGGTGCCCACAGGAAGTTGTTTTCAACAGCTTGGTAGGCACATGGCCCTACCACTTGAAAGATGTGTTGATGTCAGGGAGGATCAGAGAATGTGGGTGAATGTTGGAAGGAAATTTAGCAAGCATCCAATCCAACCTCCTTGCGTTACAGCTGAGGAAACTGAGGCCCAAAAAGAAGGAGGGGTTCTAGCATTACACGCTTTGTCACTGAAGAGCCAAGACTAGAACTCGCAGACCGCAGCTCTCATGCCACCTGGCTCCGCACTGACTGCCCCGACTTGCTAGCCTTCTGAACCAGCCTCAGAGAGAACAAGAGCCCCAGACTACGAGGGGAGTGACCTTCCCTAGACCTCCCTGGCCGCTTCCCAGTCCAAAGCAGGCTGGGGAGAATTCCCAGCGTCCTGTGCGACTAGTAATTAGCTTTCCCCCAAATCCTGACTCGGAAGCACTTTCTGCACTGGTGGGTTTTCCAGCCTTCAGCCCTGGAGACAGGTCACACACTGAACTATGGAATTGGATGATGTAATGCTCACTGCTGTTAACCTCATATCAGAGATCCGCCATTTTTGTGCTATTGTATGTGTTCTGGCTCCTTGGCTACACTGTAAACTCCTCAAGGTGGGGATACTGCCCTCTCTCCCAGCACTGAGCAGGCACTCAGGAGAGGTTTTATAGAACATGAGGCTATTGGTGCTGGAAGAGGCTTCAGTCTGAGTAAGATCCTTGAGTAACCCTCCCACCAGAAGCCCACAGCCCATTCTGTGCCCGCGGGTGTCCAGAACAGCCATGCCTCTGCCTGACAGCTCTGGTTGTGCTAGAAGGCTCTGCCTCAAGCCAAAATCTGCCTCTCAGTCATTGTTAACCCATTGGTACTGGTTGTACCCTTAACCTTACAGAATTTCTTCATATAGGGGATAAGTATCCTGTCCTCCTTCATCTTCTCTTACTGATGTGAGGGCATTGAGATTGGGGGAAGGGTGAGGGGAGGGAGAGGCTTTGAGGGCAGTGCAAATAAGGGAGGGGGCGGGGCAAAGGAAGAGAGCAGAATTTCAGCTGGGCTGGGGTGTTCTGCACATGGATGAAGAAAGCTGGGTTGGGGTTGGGATTTGGTGGATTTTCCCATCTCCATTCTTCTGCCCTCCCATCTCTCTGCTCCCTTTGAGGTCCAGAAAAATTGTGGGGTGGTGCAGAAAGACACACTGTGTGGTGTCACTTGGAACTTCCAGATCTATCTCTCTCACCACTCCTCTCCCTAAACCCCAAGGAGGTTCCCAGGTCAGAGCATGGATTTGTTGAGTGGATAGTTATCAGTCCTCACAACATCTAGGTGAGGTAGAAGAAGTGGAGATGGGGATGCACTGTTGTTTCTCTCCCCTCCAAAGAGAAGGAAAATGAGGCACAGAGAAGTAGAGGAACTTGCCCAAGGTTATCAAAGAGTCAGAGAAAGAGCCAGAGACTAGGGACACAGGGCTTCCCAAACCCAGCCAACACAGTCTCGGGGCCAGGGCCATCTCTGAGGGACTCCACTGGGATCTGAGACATCCCAAAGGAAGCAGAAGGTCCTCCCCCAGGTCCATGGTGTTTGACCTCAGCCCCTGAGTGCTAGCCAAGAGCACTTTTGCCAAAACCAAGTATCTACGAACTATGCTATCATATCTTCATCTTCCAGTTAATTTTTTGCATAGGGAGGCAGTGGCCAAATTGCCTCTTTGTGACAGGGCATAAACACAGCCAAAAGGAAGAAGGTGGCATAAGCAGGGACATCCTGGCTCTGGGGAACAAGGGGGCAACTCTAGCAGAAGGCTAGCCCCGCCCTAGTTCCGCAGGGGACCGCGGGACCCAGGACATGGCTGGAACTAAGTACATGTGCCCTGGAACTGGGGAGCCCTTCTTCAAGACAGAATTTCCCCATTCACTGACCCAAACTCTGCCTTCCTTGCCCTGGTTGAGCCCCCATCTCCTCCTTTTCCTGCCCTCCCCTTCCCCAGACGCCCCCCCCTCCCACACTCTGTGCACTGTAAACATGAGAAAACCAAAAGCAAAGGAAAAATCAAAACCAAAACCAAAACAAGAACCACCCCCCTCCCGCCTCCCAATCCGGGTGAAAAAAAAATCATCCTTTTTCGTCAGAAACAGGATTTGGTTTTTTTTTTTTTTCACCTTTGATTCCTTTTTCCTTTTTTCTCATAAAGACGGGAAGATTTGGGCTGTCGTTGGTTGGTTCAGTCAGGCACCAAAACAAGGAACTCAATGAGAAATATTTGGTGCGAATTCGTAATAGCGACATGTCCACCACAAGATGACTAGAGCACCACACACAACATTTTTCTTAAGCTAACATGCTCCGGCTGCCATCCACAGAAATAGCTAGAGACCCCTACGTGGTTTCTACGTGGTCGAGAGGTATATATACAATCCTTCAAAGGACAGGATTGAGGGGCCTGTCTATCAGCTAGGACCTTCCAGTTCTCATCCAGATTCTCAGCAGCATGGGCCCCCCCTTCCCACCCCTGCTCCGGGCACGGCCAGCTCCCTCCCGCGCAGCGAGGTGGATGGGGGCAGTCACCGCTCTGGATGGGGGTTCGTCCCCCCACCCCTCCTTTCCCTCAGACACTGATACCGCCAACTCCTCTTTCCACAAAATGTGCTTGCAGGCTTTTCCTCTACATCAAATGGCTCAGAAGGCAAAGTTTGGCTGCAAGGGCTATGGCCGTGGGGGGGACCTGGTGAAGGAAAATGGGGTGTCCACTGGCTAATTCCTCCCTCAGCTGTCGGCTCCCAGTTGTGTCTCAATGTCCACTCGGCAGATGGGACATTTCTTGCTCATGGCGAGCCACTGGTCCACACACAGTTGGTGGAAGAGATGCATACAGGGGAGGCGCCTGGAAGAGAAGGGACGATCAGAGGACTGGAGGAAAGAGAGGGGCCCGGGGCTGGGCCAGGGGTGGTGCAACACTGGCTGTCACTGGACCGGGGACCCACACCGGCACCATGGGGGATGGGCCAAAGAGAGTGTTGGGAGTCCTGCCCCAGCATGAGGCTGTGGCTGGGAGGGGAAGTTATGATGGGGAGGGGCATCCCAAGGCCCTCTTCCTCCATGAAGCCCTTTCAGACTGGCCTGAAACAAAGCCATGACTTTGTCTTAGATCGATGCAGGCCACATATCACCCTGCTGTCTTACATTTTGTGTCCACCAGTCCACACCAGAGGCATCACACATCTCCAATGTTCCACGCCCACCTTAGTCCACTGTGGCACACTCAGCACGCACATGCACAGGTGAACAAGCACCGCACCCCTGACATACAGCGTGTGGTTGATCGCAAATGCCTGTGCGGGAAGGGAGGGGGAACAGAAGAGTCTGGCCTCCTACCTCACATCTTCTCCATCTTCCAGCATAGACAGACAAATTGTGCATTTCTCATCTGTGTCTGACTCCTCCCCCTCTTCCTTCTTGCCCTTGCCATCCTGGGGTCTTCGCTGTGAGAAGCAGAGGAGGGGCATTAGTTACCTGGAGCAGACTCACCTGGTGCCTACTGTCTTTCATCCACAGCCTCCCCCTCCCTTACCTGTGAGTCAGCGTCTTTCTAAGTTCTTAAGGAAACCCCAGGCTGGTGTGCTCTCCCTAGACCCTTCTCCTGGCCTCCTCCCCTACCCTTGCCTCAGGATACAGGCATGGTGTCCTGGCCCAGGCACTCGGGGTTTAGATAGGAATTGGGTGCCTAATGAATCGATCCTTCGCAAAACTATGGCTTGTGCATGAACAGCTTCCCATTCCTATTTCCCTCATACTGTCCATTCCTCCTTACATCCTTTCCAACATAGATCCCTGCCTCCAGGCTTCTCCCTCACATTCAGGTCCAGTACACTTCATCCATCCATCCATCCATTTACTCATCCACCCATTCGCTCGCTCACTCACTCACTCACTCACCCTCCATCCACCCAACCTCTCACCCATCCACCCAACCTCTCACCCATCCACCCATCTACCCATTCATCCATCTACCCAACCACCCATCCATCCATCCATCCTGTTTCCTTTCCTTCTCCCTTCCTTCCTTCCTTCCTTCCTTCCTTCCTTCCTTCCTTCCTTCCTTCCTTCCTTCCCTCCCTTCCCTTCCCTTCCCTTCCCTTCTTCTCTTCCACTTAACTAATGTCTACTCATTTATTCATTTATTACTAGATAAAGGCAAAATTCCTCAACCTGGCATTAACTCCTGTAATTTTACACTGTTGGATCTCTTCCTATCCAGAAAGTTCCTTTAAAATCGACACTAGCTCCAAACGCAAGTTTGGACATCAGTCATTCTGTTTATACATACTGACTTTAGTTGTCCTGTTTTAAAGTCTAAGCTAATTGTTTTAAAATAGTTAACTAGCTTGTAGAAAGTTCCAAGGTCTTAGGTGGTGTGGACCATGGTCCAGCCTTCTTTAGGTACTGTTCCACACTTGGCCAAGTAGAATGCACATCACTGGTGCTTAAAAAATATTCTGGAGAGGAAGTAATCTAATCAGTGAATGAAATCAGCCCATGTTTTTTGTCCCCATCTCCACTGCACAATGCTATGTAGTGAAATAGTCTGATAATATCCATGGAAGAAAACTAGCCCTCTGTCCCCTTTCCAGAGATAAAGGCCATTTTGCCAAGAGAAAAAGCTGAAGAGTCACAAGATAAGAAACATGCACAGAATGACTATAAGCTTGGTGCCAGGCCTAGGTACCAGGTCTCCCTGCTCTGGTCCCTGGTCCTAAGCCCTGGAGTTCCTCAGTCTGATATGGTCTCCAGAGTATTATAGCCTCACGAACACTGAAGAAAATCTATGGCTTCTGCTCTCAGCTTCCCTGTGCCCAACACACTCCAACTGCAAATTATGTGATGGCCATTGCAATAAATGTCCCCTTATCTAGAATCCAGAAAATCAGAATTACACCCATAGTCCCATATAACTATCATGGCTTTTGAGTCTGAATGGAGTCATGATGTTCTGCCTGCCTAACATCCCAGCTGTGTTTCTGGTGAGGACTGGCTTTCTTTCAGTTGGTTCTTCAAGAAAAGGGATATTACATAAAAGATACTAATACAAGTCACTATTTGCCTATTTTCTATTGTTTTTCCCTACCATTATTCATGATTTCCTTTTTACAGTTAATGATTTAAACTTAATAGTCTTTCCTTGTTTTACCACATCTAGTCTATATTTAACTATTGTCTCTTTGCAAATCTTTTCCTATTTCCTCGTTTTATTTTTAGTCTTCTAGGTCTTCTGGGTTTTGTCTTCTCCTTCATGTAACTTTTATTTTAACAGTAACTTTCCTCAGCATTTATCTATTTCGTATTTATTTTATTCCTTCCACCCGTACCTCTTTGTCCTCATTCATATTACCTTTTCACATCAGTGTTATTAGTTCTAATTCTGTATGTTGCTTTCATATGTTTTTGTAAAAGTGTTTATTTTATTTTTGAGAGAGAGAGTGCAAGCGGGGGAGGGGGACAGAAAGATTGGGAGACAGAATCTCAAGCAGGCTGTGCTGTCAGCAGAGAGCCCAAAGCAGGGCTCAAACTCAGGAACCATGAGATCATGACCTGAGCTGAAACCAAGAATCGGACACTTAAACAATGAATCACCCAGGTGCTCCCTGTTGCTTTCATATCTTTGCCTAATTCTTATTTTTTTACATTTTCTACAAGACTATATTTCTTCTATATTTTTTATTCTTATATAATTGCCTTTGTAAAACATTTTTGTTTTGTTTTGTATTACCTACTCTCAGTTAAAAAAATTTTTTTTAAGTTTACTTATTTTGAAAGAGACAGCCATCAGCACAGAGCCTGAAGTGGGGCTCAAACCCACAAACCATGAGATCATGACCTGAGCTGGGATACAGTCAGACGCGTAACCGACTGCGCCACCCAGGTGCCCCTCTCAGTTCACATTTTCAGAGTTTTTTTCACAATTTATTCAGGCCCTAAACTTTATCCTTTCATATTTTTAATTCTTCTTGTTTCTTTTTTATAATATTCTATTCCCCTAACTCTCCCTTTATTCTCATCATTTTTACCTCAACTCTTTATATCATTGGCTTGGCCCACATTCCCTCCTCATTCTGTGTGTGTTCTGTTTCTGTCTCCTCACGGCCTATTGCCTGAGGGCAGGTGAGGGTGTGGTCCTGGCAGGAGGGAGGACACCTTGGTCGGTGATGTGGAAACTGCTCAGGGTTCCTGAACACACCATTCATTCCTTCCAAGTTCTTCTCCAATAGCCTAAAGCCCTCCCTGCAGAGAATGATCGTCTTCCACTTCCAGATGACCCCTTTAGCTACTCAAACACTATCATCTCCTCTATGAACACACTACCCATATAGGACACATCACAGATAATAAATGTTGGTTGAAATCACTTATGGATGAATCTGATGCCTCTATCTTGGTCTGCACAGACCAAGATTCACAGTCTTTGACACTGACTCCATGGACACCCATGCAAGCCTAGGACAAGTGAGTCTGATATCAAGGTAAGAGTGGTTCACCGTTCCTGATCACTCACCAGATACAGGCACTGTACTAAGCTGTTCTATGCATTACCTCACTGAATCCCTGGAGCACCTTTATGGTGGCTACTAACACGTCATTCCTATTTTACATTTTAAAGGGCAGGGAAAGGGCCAGAGAAGCCAAGTAAGTTGTTCAGAGTACCTAGCTCTCAGCGGTGGTTATGGACTGAATGTCTGTGCCTCTCATCCCCAAATTCTTATACTGACGCCCTATCCTCCAGCGTGATGGTATCGGGAGATGGGGGCTCTGGGAGCTAATTAGGTTTAGATGAGGCCATGAAGACAGAGCCCCTGGGATGGGATTAGTGCCCCTATAAAGAGGAAAAGACACCAGAGCTTCCTCGCTCTGCCATGTAAGGATCCAGTAAGAAGGCAGCCTTCTACAAGGCAGGAGGAGGGCCCTCACCAAGAACCAAATCTTCCAGCACCTTGATCTTGGACTTCCCAACCCCCAGAACTATGAGAAATAAGTGGCTACCGTTTAAGCCCACCAGTTGGTGGTATTTGTTATAGCAGCCCAAACAAAGACAGTAAGTAGTAACACTGAAATTAAGAGCTGGCCCTGTCTGACTCCAACACCTGGTGATCACAACCACTGTGCCCTAGCACCTCATGAGGAGGTGACAATGGGCTCTGGCTTGACCACAACGAGCAGTTTCCCACTCCAGGTTTCTCAGCACTTGTCAAGCTTTTAATTCTCAAATTTAAAAAAATTATTTAATACTTGTTTCCATAGCAGAATTTATTTTGTAGGGCAGTTTTAGTTTATATTAAAATTGAGCAGAAAACACAGCACATTCCCAAATCCCTCCCCTTCTCAACACACACACATACACATACATGCACACACACACACACACACGTATGCACTTTGCCCTTTTATTAACATCTTGCATTAGTGTGGTACATCTGTTATAATGGATGGACCAACAGTGATACACTGTTATTAAATGAAGAACATTGGTTTACATTAGGGTTCATTCTTTGTGTTGTAGAATTCTAGGGGTTTTGACAAATGCACAATGTCATGTGTCCACCATTACAGTACATACAATAGTTTCACTTAAAATGCCCTGTCACCCACCCATTCATTCATCTATCCCTCTCCCAGAGCCCCTGACAACAAGGGATCTTTTAACCATTTAGTTTTACCTTTTCCAGAATGCTAAATAGTTGGAATCCTACAGTATGCCACCTTTTTGGGCTGGCTTCTTTCACTTAGTAATATGCATGTAAGGTACCACGTATCTTTCCATGACTTAATAATAGTGCATTTTTAAAAATCATGGAATAATATTCCATTGCATAGATGTGCCACAGTTTGCTTGTTTATCCATTCACTTATCCATTCACTTATCGAAGGATATCTTGGTTGCTTCCAAAAAAATTTTATTTATTTGAATTTTAAAATGTTTTAAAAATCAGATCCTTGGGTCCTAACCCTACTCCACATTCCTGAGCAATAACCCTAGAAAGTCTACCTCTATAGGCTTAGGGTACAGCCTGTGAACGTGTGGCTTTAAAGGCTCCCCAGCTGATCCTGCTGGTCAGTGAGGATTGGAAACCCCTGCTCTGAAGCCTTAGGTGTCCATTTGCCCACACAGAGGGTTGGACTTAGAATTCTCTTCTAAGACAAATCTTAGCCTTCACTGCAGGTGCTCCCTTTTCCCACCTCATTCAAATACAAACATTCACATACCTGTACCCCTACCTAATACAGCCACTCACAAGTCCATGTGTACCACACACCCAGCCCTCCTCCTTTATGATGAGAGGCACACCTATCTCCCCCGCTGGTCACACCTGACAGAGACAAGGGAGGAGACCCTGGGAAAGCATCGCAGCATCAGAGCATCTAACCACAGCCCCTCAAGTACGCAGGCTGACCTGCTTGCAGACGCACCTTCTTGTATTTGTGGGGGAAGGTGAACCTCTCGATGGTGTTCTGTACAGCTCCCCTAGTCACATTTCCCAACCTATCCTCAAGCTGCAGCAGCTCCTGCAAAGAGATAAATGTGGACATGTGCACTCTGCATGTACAAGCTCACACACAGACACACGCACACACGCACACACGGTAAGGAGGAAGGACACTGAAAGATGTTAGCGGGAAGCATTCACACAGCCATCAGGAAGAAGTCATCTGGTACTGAAAGATGCCCACATCTCTACTCACTCTCTCTTTTTCTCTCTCTTACTCTCAACCCTCCCATGCCCTCCCCACCAGCAGGGGAAAGGGGGAGGGGACAATGGACAATAATGGTGTCTCCACCAACGCAGCTGGAGCCAGACAGAGGGACAGGCATACCTCGTAGCTCTCCCGCACTGCAGAGGTGTGCCTGCTGGGGTTCAGTCCCTGGAGAGCAAGGAAGTGAAGCTGAGGGTAAGGGTAGTTTCGGATTTCATGGACGACCTGTTGGGGAGAAAATGCTCATATGGGATTCCAAGCTGCAAGAGCCCAGCTTCCAACTCCTCACCACCCCCATAACCACCAGTCTGCACACCCTCACAATTCTTCAGGCAGAAGTGCTATCTTTCCTGCTCTTCTGTTCTCCTCTCCTCATCAAGAACCAAGCCTATACTAGATCAGCCCCAGAAAAAAAATAACAAAATCAATAAAGTAAATATAAATTAGGAGCACCTGAGTGGCTCAGTTGGTTAAGCATCTGATTCCTGATTTTGGCTCAGGTCATGATCTTGCAGTTCATGGGTTCATGAGATCAAGCCGTGCATCTTGGGATTCTCTTTATCCCTCTCTCTCTGCCCCTCCCCTGCTCCTGAACATGCATGTTCTCTCTCTCAAAAATAGATGGAAAAATATCTAAAAATATATATAAATTAGTAAATATGTATGCTTTATGCAAGTATAATTAGTAACATAACTAAGCTGATTGGGCATTTATTTCATGGCGGGCACTATCTAAACACTTTACATGATTAATTCAATGATCTCATTTGGTCTAGAATGTGGGTGCGATTGCTATCCCCATTTTACTGATAGGATAAATGAGACACAAATAAAGTAAGTGCCCACATTATGCAACCAAGTGGCAGAACCACAATTTCAAGCCCAGGTAGTTGAGTGGCCATGGGCCATTTCCTTCCCCTCCACTTGGCGCTGCCTTAGACGGTGAAGAGCTTGGGCCAGGGTCCTAACTAGGAGGGGCAGGTGAGAGCACAAAATCGAAGCAAAAAGACTCGGTAATCAATATCTTAATGCAATATTTTTTAAATCGAAATTAACGCGAAAAGTCCATAGTGAGCAAAATACCAAAAGTTTAAATAAGACAGAATCTCCCCCTGTGCTGGAAGGACACTGCCCTTCTCACCCCACCCTGGTGCTAGCTTTGTATCAGAGGGACCAGATCTGTATCACAGCTCCTCACTGCATGAACCCTGTGAGTTACCCCCCTATATCTCAGTTTGCCAATCTGTAAAATAGGGATAATTCCCTTTTGTGCAAGGTTACGGATCATTCACGCAAAGTGCTTAGAATAATGCCTGCCAGGCAGTAAGTGCTTGATAAACGTTAGCTCCTTTTCTTTCTTTCTTTTTTTTTTTTTTACAAATAGTTTATTGTCAAATTAGTTTCTATATAACACTCAGTGCTCATCCCCAAAGTGCCCTCCTCCATGCCCATCCCCCCTCCCCCCCACATCCATCAGTCCTCAGTTTTTGTCAGCATTCAAGAGTCTCTCATGGTTTGCCTCTCTCCCTTTCCCCCACCATTTCCGCCCTTCTTCTCCCCCTTGTTCCTCCGTCAAGTTCCTCCTAATCCTCCTATACGTGCAAACATATGATATTTGTCCTTCTCTGCCTGACTTATTTCGCTCAGCATAACACCCTCAAGGTCCATCCATGTTGCTACACATGGCCAGATTTCATTGTTTCTCATTGCCATGGAGTATTCCATGGTATAGATAAACCCCATCTTCTTGATCCATTCATCTGTTGATGGACACTTAGGCTCTTTCCATGTTTTAGCTATTGTGGAGAGTGCTGCTATGAACATTGGGGTCCATGTGCTCCTATGCCTCAGCATTTCTGTATCCCTTGGGTAAATTCCTAGCAGTGCTATTGCTGGGTCATAGGGGAGTTCTATTGTTAGCTCCTTTTCTTAGGAGATGGTGCTTCATGACACACACCATCGAGCCTCAGAGCTGACAAGAGCCTTGGAGATTACTCCTCCAAGCCTCTCATTTGACGAACAAGGAGACTGAAGAACGGAGTGGCTAATGGCAGAGGCAAGGGCTGGAAGGGTGAAATTGTGAAGCAGCTGTCTGGAGATAAGGTTCTGCAATCTGTCTTTTGCCACTCTAACGGAATATTCAATGTTGGCCATTCCACTTAGTTTGCATCGCCAGGGACCGGAAGGCCCCCAAACCCCCTGCCCCCTTCTGCAATCCCAGTGCCTGTGGTGACAAAGTTCAGCCCCCTGCAGAGAGCAGAACTGGATCAGCAGGCAGGGCCCAAGGGTCACCTGTGGGGTCTCCTTTGTCCCTTACAAGCAGGCATCTTCATCCCATTTCACAGATAAGCAAAATCAAAGCCCATTGAGGTGCTGACTCCAAGAAATTAATTAAATGAGGGCACAGTGAGGGAATGCCAGGACCGTTCTTAGTCTTCAGCCTCTTCCCACAGACCATAGCCTGCCACGCGCCCCTCTCCCCTCCTCCAGCACCCCATTCCTCCCGCCGCAGCGCTGCCTTTAGCCCGGGAGGTGCCATCAGGCCAGAGTGGGAATAGGAGCGGGGAGGGGAGGGCGGCATCTCAGCAGGGCCCAGGGCAGCCGCTGGCCTTAGCCCACCATCTGCACCCAGCAGGCAGCAAGGGCCTCCAGTTCCCGGCAGAGCCCTTCCACTCACCATCTGCGTGGAGGAGGAGTTTCTGGGAAAGTGGTGCATTCGAGGAGTCGCTAGGTAATGCTGATAGTGCTGGGGGATGGGCCGCACCTGGAACTGGGCAGGGCTCAAGCCGGCGTCCACGCTGAGATCCCTGCAGGGGCGAGGCCACAGTGAACCGCGGGGTGGTGTGACTCCGCCTTCTGCAGGAGGTCTGGAGGACGGGCCTCAGGCCTCAAGTCCGGGGACAAGAGTCAGAGTCACAAACCACCAAAGCTGCAAGGGGCTTGGCGTCACCAACCCCTTCCCCTCTCTTTATAGTGCCGAAAACAGAGACTCAGAGGAGGAAAGGGGTCTCCCAGGCCTGAAGGGGCTAGATCGGTCTATGCCTCACAACCTCCTTAAAATGACTGCACCAAGGCTCCCTCCTCAGATAAAGCCCAGCCCTGACAGAACTGCTGAAACAAGAATCCAAATAGAGCTGATCAGGGAGGGAGACGGAGTAAAGGGAAGACAAATGAGACAGAGGCAGAGGTGGGAACAGATGCTGTTATTCAGAGAAAACCACAGAAGAGGGACAGACCTCTAGAGGGGTGAGGCTGGACAATCTATCTTGGGCCCCTGCCCCCACCCCCACAAGTACAGGAAAACTCATTTCCCTTAAAAATTAACCAGTCAATGGGGCACCTGTCGATTAAGTGTCCAACTTCGGCTCAGGTCATGACCTAACAGTCTGTGAGTTCAAGCCCTGCGTCCAGCTTTGTGCTGACAAATCAGAGCCCGGAGCCTGCTTTTGATTCTGTGTCTCCCTTTCTCTCTCTCTCTCTCTCTCTCTCTCTCCCTCTCTCTCTCGCTGCCCCTACCCAGCCTGTGCTCTCTCTCTCAGAAACAATAAATGAATTAACCTAAAAAATATATTTTTTAAATTAACCAGTCAATGCAACTGCAAAGGAACCAGGGCTCCTTGGGAAGTGGCTAATTTCAGGTCTGGAGCAGAAAACACACAAAACGTTTTGAAATGTCTTATCATAACTGCAGGTAAGGAAGTTATCCCAGGTCAGAGGTCAAAAGGATTCAGGAACCATCCTGGAGAGGTTCCCACTGGCCAGTCTGGACATCAGGCAAGTCAGTGAGCTGAATTACAACAGATCCCATTGCGTAGGCTTACACAGGGAACCCAAACTTCACTTTGAAAACTAGTAAAGAAAGGGAAAGAACAGAACATTTATCCTGCCTTTCCTCTATTAACAGTACTTAAGGGTAATCAAATGACTGACGAAGGGAACTTTCTCTTTATAAAAGCTTCCTAGCTAATAAAGGAATAAGCAATGATTGAATTGTCACCTTTTTGCAGCCCCTAAAAGAGTAAAGTCTCCTGGCAAAGATCAATTGCTGTTTCCATCACAGAAGGAAAGGCAACCAGCTTTCTGCTGGAAGAACACACCCCCTGTGAAGGATTTTTTCCAAGAAATAGTAAGAGCTGAACCTGGATCTGCTCAAACCTTGATCTAAGTGCCAGAGCACAGGGAACGTAGAACAACTGAGGGACGTCTTAAGGGATATGCCAGAGTTCAAGTACAGCTAGCTAAATCCAGAAAAGGAGAAAGTCCACAGAAGAAGCAGCCCAAATTCTTCAACAAATACATTTTTAAAACAATGATACGAGGGGGGTTAGGCATTAAAGGAATTTCTGCTTCTAGCCATGATATACATATGTATTACAATGTGCATGTAGTCCTGTATTTCCTGAATATATTAGCCCGGATCCCTGGAATAAATTTTCATGAGTCTTTCATTTGGAAAATGAGCTAAATTCTTGGATCCTGTTGGAAACAAACTTAGAAATCCACTAACCCAGCCTCCAGATTCCTCAGGTCTATCTGAGGCCTGAAGCACGGCCGTGCCTTAGCCCACGGTCGGAGGCGAGCCAGTTTGGGCCACCTGGGTTCAAAGCCTTGCCTGGGCTTATTCCATTGACCTGCCTCTGGGAATGGTGTTCCATGGCGCACCCTCATGTGGCCGAAGCTCTGGCTCTCAGTATTTACTTTGCAGCCTCAGGGGGCCACCAAAGTCAAAGCAGCAAAGAGACATTCAGGGAGTTCTATCAAAAGCAAAGTCCAGAGGAACCTGGAACAGAGTTGGCCCAATTGCGAGAATGCTAACTGGGAGACAAGGGCACCGTGACTCTCAGGTGAGTGGGATGACCTGCCCAGGTTGGCCCTGGGTGGTCTCTGGGGTACCCCTCTTATCATCTCACCGGAAAATTCCTCCCTAAACCCAGGATCCCTGAAAAGGGGATGCTCATCGGGTGCAAAAGAAGCCTGGATTGGGACTTGCCCTAGGACATGTCAGCCCCTGGAGAAGCAGTGTCCCCCACCTTTCTGCTGCTGCCCCAGACTGTGAGAACCTGGCTGAGGGTTGAAAAGGGTCATAGAAAACCCTGCAGCCCTAGAGCACAGGGTTAACGCAGAATGGTGTCCTGGAGATTTCCTGTGGGCATTGTCTCAAGGTACATCTCATGTCAGCTCCGTCTAAATATCAAGCTAAACTTGGAGTGCCTGGGTGGCTCATTTGGTTGGGTGTCTGACTCTTGATTTCAGCTTAGGTCATGATCCCAGGGTCGTGGATTGACCCCCATGTTGGGCTCACTGGGCGTGGAGCCTGCTTGGGATTCTCCATCACCCCCTCAGCCCTCTCCCCTGCTTACACACCTCTCTCTTTTCTCAAAAAAAAAAAAAAAATATATATATATATATATATATACATATATGTATATTTCAAGCTAAACTGTATTTCCCACTATCAATGGCCTTGAAGTGTGCTATAGTCTGGTTGCTACGCAGACCCTTGCGTTCTTCCTCGGGCAGCTACCATGCTGGCACCATCTCACAGGTGACTCTGGAGGCTTGGCAGAGGCAGAACTGCCTGCAGGGAAGGACAGTAGGAGGCTCTCATTCCCCTCCCGGCCCCACAGGTCCCAGGGGCCCCCGGGGGTGCTCCGCCTGGGCAGGGCTAGGGCTGGGGGGTGGGTAGTCAGAACAGGGCATCAGAGTTGGAACTCCGAAGCCAGGGCTGAGTCAGGGAAGGAGCACCATGAAGACAGAAACATTGGAGCTCAAGGTCAGGGTTGCATTATCAGGCAGGGACCCCAAAGGGGATATATTTAGGATTGATCCCCCAAGGCCTGCTGCTCCCACATACTCTGGGGCCAAGGTGCCCGGCTAAGAGAAGCTGCCTAGGCAGGCTTCACATATCCTAGGAAGGGGGACAGGCCAGGCAGAGAAAGCCCAGGGTGGACCCAGGTGTGACGGGGGCAGGGGCCTCCCCTGCTTCCCCCACGGAGGCCTCTCAGGACCTCAGTCTTTATGTTTTTTAGGCAAACAGAGGCCAGGAGGGCGGGGTGATTGAGCTGTGGGAGCACAGGAGGTCTGGCGAAAGCAAGCAGGCTGGCAGGGCTCACACCCGCACTGCTCCTGACACCTCTCCAGGCCACCACTCTCCACTCACCCATGTCACCTGCCCAGGCCCAACCTGCTGCACTGGCCCCGACATGTTTGTTCAAATCACTCAGCGTGTGCTGAATTGAATTCAATCAGATGGCCTTGACTGCCGAGGGACAGGATTCAATCCAAACTGCAATTAAATCTTCCTGATTTGAATCTGCTAATTAGAAAAAGCCTGGGCTGAAGTTGGCCGCCATGCAGACTGCCTTTTAAGGAAGTGTTCAATTTAACAGAGCATCCCAAAGAACCAGCAGAGGGCTGGGAGATGTCAGAATGTGCCAGAACAACTACTTCCTGCCCGTGGAGGCACCTGGCACATGTAATCAACCAGAATCTTCCAGCTTTTGAACCATTCATTCTTGGATGTCCAGTTTGCCTAATGGTTGAAAAATGACACAATGTATGTCTTTTTTTTTTAATAGTCCATCTCTTTCCATAGAAATGTTTTGTTTGTTTTTGTATTCTTTCAAGAAACATTTTGACCTCAAAATTGCAAGACCAGCACAAAGAATTCCTGGATACCCTTCACCCAGACTCCCCATGTGTTAATGGTTTACTGTTTACTGCATTTTTATTTCTTTCTCTCTCTCTCTCTCTCCAGGTATACATACACACATCTACACACACGCTTCTAGGTGGAGAGTTTTTTGTTCTGAATTTTTAAAAATAAATTACAAGCATTACGTCTTTTAAGCCTAAGTGCTTCAGTAAACTATACGTCTTTTTCAAGGGTTTGGGTGTTCGGATCTGATTCTAGATTAGGTCAGCCAACTCTTGAGCTAGAACCGGAGAGTCAGGTAGGATGGAGGACCCAAAACCAAGCAACGCTGCATCCCAGGACAGCAAAGACCTCTGTCTCAAGTGCAAGAGACGGTGGAAGACCCCACAGGAACCTGGTGCCCAGAAAGTACCAGGCAAAGCTCTCAGTCTCTCTCCCCAGCTTCTCTCCCCAGTCGTTACCTCCAACCCTGCTGGCTCTGCCTCTACGATCCTGTGTCTGGTCTTGCTGGTTGGCCCTGACTCTTCTCTGTGGACCCCTCAAGGCCCACCCCTTCTAGGAAGCCTTTCCTGACTATTTCTGCCTGCCTCCCAGAAACCATTGGCTTCCAGCCCTCATTGGCCTTGGGAGATGTTCTGTATCTCTGTCCCCTCCTCCCTTGCAGGACCGCGAACACAGAGCCCCAAGCTGGGTACGTGATGATATCCAGTCCCATAATGAGCTAATTGCTGAAACCAGGGCCACTGGGGGCCATCTGGTCTTGAGGGTGACCTGGGGCACAGGCAAAGGCAGGAGCTTGAAGACCAGGCCTCCTGCACCATCAAAGTGAAGGAAACAGGATCTCCATGGATCAGGCAAGACTTCCTCCCACCCCTTCCCTCCCCCACTTAGGGACCCCACAGACTCACCAGTCAGTACCCTCAGCCAAATACCTGGGCTGAGGCGTCTGGAGTTGGTGGCCGAAGTCGAAGCTGGGGTGGAGGCGGTGGGGGTGGACAGACACACGCTCCTGACTCCGCCTGCACAGGAAGGGAAGGAGGGTCTGTGGCGTCAGGGCTGCCCACGGCCAGCCCAGCTCCCAGGACCGCTGCGCAGCCTTAGCCTGCCTGAGCCTACAGCCCACAGAGCTGTGCGCTCTGCCTCTCCTCCCAAACTCCACGGACAGGGCCCCGCTTGGCAGCAGCGTCCCCACTCCTGCGGCCCGGGGCCTGCCCGCTCTTCTGAGGCCTCCCCCTGGGTGTGTCTGCTGCAGGCCACACGTCCCACCCAAACTCTCTAGCCTTCTCTGCTCCCTCTGAATGTGGTGGGCTGTCTCCAAGATGCATAGAGAGGCCTCCTGCAGGCCCTCCCACACCTGTGCATCCCCCTCTCCTCCACCCTTCTCCACTCTTCCCAGCTTTCATAGCCCCGGTGAAAGCCACTGCCTACAGGAAGGCCTCCCTGAACATTCCAAGCATGGTGACCTCTTGTCCCTCTGACCTGCCACAACATTCATCTCCGCCCCTGTACCTCAAGCCTACAGTCAAGGAGGCTTAGAGCCTTAGAGATGTTCAGGTCCAGCCATCTTCAGAGTGTGTTCCTAGCACCCCTGGGGATCCCTGAGACCCCTTCATGGGGTTTGTGAGGTCAATGCTATTTTCATAATACTAGGATGTTATTTGCTTTTTTTACTCTCATTCTCTCATAAGTGAATGGTGAAGTTTTCTAGAAACCAAGTGTGATTCTGCAACAGATTGAATATGCAGAACCAGACATGAGAACACAACTGTCTTCTATTAACCCGGGCATTAAAGAGATTTGCAAATATGTAAAAAAAAAAAAAGCCCCTCTTCTCACTACATTTGTATATAGCTCCTTTCCCAAAAAGATATTATTAGTGTTAGCATGAGTTTGTTATTGTATTTTTAAGTGAATTAATAAATATTTTTAAAATTTCTCAGTTTTAACTTCCATCATGGCAAGTATTAATAGTCATAATCCACATAAACAGAAGCTTCTGTAATCCTCAATAATTTTTAAGAGTGTAAGGGGTCCTGGGGCGCCTGGGTGGCTCAGTTGGTTAAGCAATCGACTTGGGCTCAGGTCATAATCTCACCGTTCATGAGTTCGAGCCCAGTGTCAGGCTCTGTACTGACAATTCAGAGCCTGGAGCCTGCTTGGGATTCTGTGTCTCCCTTTCTCTCTGCCCCTCCCCCACTCATCCCCCACAGTTCTTCAGACCTATCTGATTAGTATTATCTGATTTTATTCTCCATTTGTTTCATAGCTGGGCCCCTCAACCAGACCAGGCGCTCTTGAGAGGCAGGGCAGAGGCATCCATGTCCGTTGGTGTCCCTTAGGGAACTGAGGAGTTAGAATCAGGTGATCTTGAAGCTCAGGGAGACATAAGGGATCCCATCTCCCACACGGAGCCTAAGCCCACCGTGAGCATTAGAAACCACCAGGTGCCCAGTCCCCGCCCCTGCCTCTGCGTGGTGTGACAAGGACACACATCAGCTACTGAGGGAACCGCATGGGGTCTGGGTGGTGGGGTCTCTAACTGGAGCAAAAGCTGCCCCCTCCCCCACCGCCCTGCCCAGAAACCCACGTGGTGACTGGCTGCTCAGCCCTCGAAGAAAGCCAGGGCCACCCACCCCCCACCCCCGCGCACCGGGCCCCTGCAGCGCCCACCTCGGGTGCGAGAGGAGCCTGCGGTGCTGGGCTTCCAGGAGCTGCTGCTGCAGGAGGTATTGCTGGTGCAGGGCCTGAGGTAGGAAGGAGGGACCTGTGACGTCCTGGAACTGCAGGGTGGGCAGCGGAGTCAGCGACTGGTGCAGGGCGCCGCTGTGCTGGTGGGCCGGGGCCATGTGGGCGCTGAGGCCCGGCTGCGACTGCACGGGGTGCGCCAGGGGGAAGTCGGGGGCCAGCTGCTGCGGCTGCGGGGGGCCCAGGTGGAAGTGGCGGCAGGAGGTAGCGTGAGGGTGCTGAGACCTTTGAAAGGGGGCACCTGGGGAGGAAGGACAGAGAAGACTCGGTGAGGACCCGCCCCGCGCCCTCCCCGACGGAGGGGATGCCCTGCGGCTGGTGAGACTCCCGCATTTCACTGGAACACAGCAGTGTCGTTGCTCAGACACACTTGGCCACCTTGAATGCCGCCAGGTAGAGAGGCTCTGAGCTGTATGTGTTGGAAAAGAGAGGAGTGTTTCGTTTAATGAGCAGATACGCAAGCTGCCTGTTTTTATAGATGCCACCTAGATAGAGAACACGGAGTCCAGCCTAGCCAAGGACCCAGCCCCGGGGGAACCCTAATTTCCAGAGACGAAACAACAAGATGCTGTTTTCCATGCAGTTTCGCGAAAAAGACTAATCATGAAAAGTCATGTTTATTCAATAAAAGTTAAATAATTTGTTACAATGTTATAATTTATTTAAAAGCAACCATTTCCACCAGTGAGCTGGACTCAGGGTACGTTTCATCTAGTCTCCATGACTTTTTTAAATAAAATTGACCTTGATGACAGAAAAGGTCCAGGTCTCAGCCTGGGGGTCCTTTATTCAGACAAGGAAGAGAACTTGGCACTTCAGAAATGTTCACGGGGGCTTCCTGCTAAACGTGGCCGGTTCAGCACATATCTGCTCCTTCCTTAACCCCACCGAAAGGGGAGCAAAGGAGTCAAGAGAAGATGAACAGATAAGGACAAAGAGAAGAGTAGAAGTGACATGAGCCGACAGCAGATGTCAAGAGAGTTTGGGAAGATGGAAAGCAGATGGAGGAATTTGCAGAGCTGAGAAACCGGAAATCGAGTGTCTACCGAAGGACAGCCAACAGGAAGTGGACAGACTTTGCCACCTGTGATGGAAGGGTCAGGAATTGGAGGTGGTGGCTACTTTGGCAGGCGGGAGAGAGGGACACGGATTACAGGTCTGTATGAGGACCAGTTCTGCCTGGGGCTTCCCCTCTTTCCTGCGGAGGCGCTGACATTTTGTGGGGGAAATGGGGCCAGAATGCAGCAGCCTGCTCAAACAGGGGGGCTTAAGGGAAAGTCTATGCACGGAACTTTGGAAACCCCCTCCCCCTTCTGCCACTGGTCCTGAAAGCACTGTCACCCAGCAACGCACTGAAAACTGGACCCAGAAAGACATCTAACAGATACTTCTGGTTGGGAGGGCCCAGTAAATGGCTGTGTCCCCAGCCGGCCACTCTGTCATGAAGCCTGTAAATACAGAAGTCCATACATGCACACACTCACAATCACATGCAGTTTCTGGACAGCTTTTAGTGACCTACTCTTCACTATGAACAGATGGCCCAAGGGTAACCAGTCTCTGAGGAAGGTTACGGAGTGAAAAGAGAGAGAATGTATCAAATTTTAAAAAGAATAAAACAAAAGGAACTCAGAGGAACAGAGGCAATGCAAAGGAAAAAAATAAACTTCAAAACGGTATAATTGATATCCTCTGAGAAATAAAATGTTGGACCTATGAAACAAGAAGCTCTTTTAAGGGCACCTGGGTGGCTCAGTTGGTTAAGCGTCCGACTTCAGCTCAGGTCATGATCTCACGGTTCGTGGGTTTGAGCCCCGTGTCGGGCTCTGTGCTGACAGCTCAGAGCCTGGAGCCTACTTCAGATTCTGTGTCTCCCTCTCTCTCTGACCCTCCCCTGCTCATGCTCTCTCTCTCTCTCTCTCTCTCAGAAATAAATAAAACATTATTTTTTTTTAAAAAAAGCTCTTTTAAAAGGAGCTAAGAGAAAACAAGAAAGAGAGCTCTCAGACACTAAAAACAGAAGGGTCAGGAGATAAAGATGGAGGAAATTTCCCAGGAAACAGAAGAAGAAAACCAAGAGACAGGAAATAGGAGAAAACAGATGTAAACATAGACGGATGGGTTGGAAGTTTCCATATGTGACTAGTGAGAGAAAAGACAGAAAACAATGGGGAGGAGATTATGAAAACTATTGCAAAAGATAGTTTCCCAAGCTGACGGTCTAAGTTTCTAGGTAGAAAAGGTCCACTGAGTGGCCAGCAATATGGACAGGAGAAGAGCCCATAAATATCCAACTTGTAGGAGCAAAGATGATTTGAACACTTTCCAGAGAGAAGGCAAATAGGGGTCACACAAAAGGTCAGGAAGCAAAATAGCATGAGATTTATGAAAAGCAACATTGGAAACATGACAACAATAGAGCAATTGCCTTCGGGATATGAAGGGGAAAAAAGATTTCAATCTAGAACTCTGTGCCCAGTCAAACCATTGATTGATCAAGTGTGAGAATCGAATATAGACATGTTCAAACATGCTGGGTCTCAAAAATATCAACCTTCTTGGATGTTTCTCAAAGAGGGACTGACACAAACCAAGAAAGAGGAGCAAAAGATAGGGCATAGAACCTGAGATGGGGTTTCTCAAGCCATGCAGTGGTTCTAGCAATCTCTTCCCAGGGGAGCAGGAAGATGGTGCTCCCAGAGGCTGTCTTGGAGGCGGGGATGGAAACCATAAGATAGCCACGAGACTTAGCCACATCAAAATAGTAGTTGAAGGGGGCATGTGGGTGGCTCAGTCAGTTAAACATTAGGCTCTTGATATTGGCTCAGATCATGATCTCATGGTTCATGAGTTCAAGCCCCATGACAGGCTCTGAGCAGACAGCTCAGAGCCTGCTTGGAATTCTCTCTCTCTCTCTCTCTCTTCCCCTGCTCTGCTCACACACACACACGCTCTTTCTCTCTCTCAAAATAAATAAAAATCTTTAGAAATTTTAAATAAATATTTGAAGGAATTTTGCAATTTGACAGAGAATTTGGTAAGAATGTATACAAATGTCATTAAAAAAAAGCAAGGCAACGACAAAAAATAATAAAATACAAAAAGAGGCAGTTATCGCCTCCCAGAAAAGAAAAAATTATGCAAGAAAGTGTAATTATTATGCACTACTTGGTTCAGCAGTGAAAAATATTTATATTTTATATATGTTATATATAATAAAACATTCATAAGCTATATTAGAACAGAAAAAGACATTTCTCTCTTAATGAGAAGAAAATATAAGGGCGCCTGGTTGGCTCAGCTGGTTAGACAACCACTCTTGATTTCGGTTCAGGTCATGACCTCATGGTTCGTGAGATCGAGCCCCATATTGCACGTGCCCACTTGGGTTTCTCTCTCTCTCTCTCTCTCTCTTTGTCCCTCCCCTGCTCACACGCTTGCTCTCTCTCAAAAATAAATAAACATTTTAAAAATTAATTAATTAAAAAGAAAATATATAATGTCAAAATTGAAAAAGCAACAAATAGCATTGTAAGAATTTGTTTAGAAATTTACTTAATAATTTATGTGTTTCAGGAAGTAAATAGCTGAAGAAAAGTGGCATATGCTGGGCTTTGGGCTGTAGGAGAGGGGAAGGAGCTAATACATTACTACTACATGCTATATTTATATGTATATATATACATGTTACTACATAGATATCTTATAAACTGGTGCCTCTTGACTCTGTAAATGATGTGCATGCCATTGATAGATGTTTTTAATCTTTTAAAAATAACTATTTACAGATCCAAATGAAAACAAAAGGAGTTGCTGACTGCCCTCAAATGAGCCAGAAAGGAATTATCTAGAAGGTTAATTTCTACAAATATTCTGGATAAGTAGGGCTTCTCTGCCTATTGAATTCTGGCTTTGCTGAGTCCGGGGGTTGTGGCCTGAGCAAGCATGCACTGGATTCCCCTTTCTCCCTCCCTCACACCTGACCATCAAAAGAGAAGAAAAAGGCCAAGGTGACGGGGAAGAAGGGAAAGAGGGAAGGAGGGCTATTGAGAGATCATAGAAAGAAGTGAAAGATAGGCATAACTGCAGAGAAAGGAAATTGCATTTAAAAAATATAGACTCTAATCCAGCCCTGTCCAAAAGAATTACGATGTGAGCCATGTGTGTAACTTAAACTTTTCTGGTAGCCACCCTTAAAAGAAGTAAAAAGACACAGGTGAAATTAATACTAATAATATATGCTAGGGGCGCCTTGGTGGCTCAGTTGGTTAAGCTTCCCGACTCTTGATATCACCTCAGGTCATGATCTTACAGTTGGTGAGATGGAGTCCAGCGTCAGGTTCTGTGCTGACAGCGCAGAGCCTGCTTGGGATTCTGTCTCTCTCTCTTTCGCTGCCCCTCCCCCTTCTCCAAATACATACATAAACATTAAAGAATTAAAATAGACAATATATGCTACATAAGCCAATATAGCCAAAGTGTTATTATTTCAACAGGCACCCCAGGAGAAAAAAAAGGAAATCTATTACATTGCTTTTTTATTGCGCACTACATTCCAGTGTGCATGTTGCACTTACGGTGCATCTGAGTTCCGACTGGCCCCCTTCCAAGCTGCCCCCTGTGGTTCGTGCCTCCCCTATTAGACAGTGTAGCTGTAAAGGAGGAAAGCCAACTCCATACACAGAGCAAAGCATTTGAGCCAAGTTTCCTAACTGGTCTGCCTTCAGAAGGGGAGCTCCCCGTTGCTTAGAGGTGAGACACACACCCCTCAGCCAGGTATTAAGCCCCAGCCTCCTGATCCCTGCTAACTCCACTAAGCTCTCCCCCGGCCACCCACGTGGTCAACTCAAGATTCAGACACGGCACACACCTTCTCCCCCAGGGGCCTTGCTCACACCTCGCCGGCTGCCTTCCCCATCTTTAAAGGTCACCTCTCAGCTCTTCCAAAAATGCCTCCCCTGCCCACCACCCTCCCCTGGGTTCCTGGAGAACGCCCCGTCTCTATCGCTCATTTGGCACCTGGCAGGGGCTACCTTGAGCTGTTTCTTCACGCTCGCCACCCCCAGCTGGCTGAGCTTCGTGTCTTACTGTTTCTGGATCCCCACGCACATCTCTGGGAGCTGGCATTCGGTGAAGACTGACTGTTGGATGGTCTGAGGGAGAAAGAGTAGCTCTGGAGACTGGTGCACGGAGACTGGTGGATGGCAAACTGGTTTCAACTTGAGAGGGAAAGAGAATGGC